CTTAGTTAATTTAAAATATGTTTTATAAACCTTAAATATATAAATAATGTAAAATATGATCGAGATTTATTTCAAATGGTCTTTTGAAGAAAGGGAAACTTGAGATTTTTAAAATACTTTAAGGAGTCGTCAAATTTATTTTCATGAGTTTTTTATATACTCTTTTAACGGTCTATCAGGGTCTAAAAGTTTAAATTATTTGAGATTTTGAATTCAAATTGAATATTATCAATATTATTTTTGAGGGACCTTCAGAACAGCAATACAGGGTGAGATGAAAAAACTGCAACCAACTTCAGACTGCTGTCATTTCTACGCCACTCGTCTGAAAGCTGTTATAATTATTCCAGTGATAGCTCTTTATATTGTTTACAAGCGTTCAAAAGCATTTTGGTGAGAATTTTCCAGAAAAACAAAAAAACGTTATTCGTGATAGGATTCAAGCGTGATTTCTTTATATTCGGCTGGAAAACCACATAAGGCTATCGTTAGAGCACTCCAGCATTTAAATGTGAATAAATCTTTTGTGTCTCGTACCATTGCTCGTTACCGTGATACTGGTAGCGTAGTCCGACGTCAAGGAAATGGACGGAAGAAAACAGCAACATCAGCGGAAATTGTTCGAAAAGTAAAGAAGCGACTTGATCAAAACCCGCTTTGCAGAGGCCGAAAAATGGCTCGCAATATCGGCAAATATTGAAAAAATGAGCTCGGAGTAAAGCCATTAATATTCCAAAAAGTGCAAGAACTTACACCGCGACAGAAAGAAAATAGATTCAAAAGAGCTAAAGAGTTGCTTCGCTTGACGGAAAGTGATGAACTGCCGAATTTGGTTTTCTCCGATGAGAAATAGTTCGTTGTCCAGCAGTTTGTAAACAAACAAAATGATTGTGTTTACTTGCCGAAGAGGTCAGCTGAAAATGTGCACCTTCTGTTGGCCACCAGAACTGAAGCGCCGAACATGGTGATGGTGTGGGCAGCCATAACAGCCGATGGTCGCTCTCCGCTCGTATTAATCTACCGTGGCATCAGAATAAATGCCGAATATTATCGCGAAAATATTGTGGAGGGTGTATTAAAGCCTTGGGCACGCAAACATTTTGGCCGCAGACCTTGGACATTCCAACAGAACTCAGCACCATCGCATGCTCCACCTAAGAATGGTTAAAAATGAGGTTCCTCGCTTCCAAAATCTCTGGATACCAATCCGTTGGACTATTGTGTCTGGAGTATTTTGGCGCTTCCCCGGGAATGAGCCAAAATACCGCAGAGCAACATTCGGGCAGCGTGTCACGGTTTCATTGGGCGTTTGAAGGCCATAATTTGTGCCAAAGGTGACCAATTCGGACAAATCTGAACTTATTTTAAAATTTGATGCTATTTTCGACATTTTTTGCTTTCATTCAATAAAACTTAAACAAACAAGTAAAAAAGCTGTAAGTTCGGCCGGGCCGAACTTTTAATACCCTCCACCATTTGGTACAAATTTGGTAATTTCCAAAAAATAAAACCCGTTAAAAATTCTGTTAAAATCTTAAAAATACCGAATGCTTATACGACGACGTGGGCCTGCATAGGCAACTTTTGTCATAAATTATTACAATATTTAAATGCGAAACTTGAAGAAAAATCTGTTTATAATGCAGCTAAAATCGTCAAAATACCGAATATGGGGGGTACCGTTATATGGGGGCTATACGAAGACGTGGACCTGCACAGACAATTTTCTGGCATGGGCTGAAGTATCCATTACGAACTTCACATACGAAATTTGAAACAATCCCTGTAAATAACGTCGCTAAAATCATTAAAATACCGAATATCGGGGGGTACCGTTATATGGGGGCTATATGAAGACGTGGACCTACATGGCTCATTCTTTGACTTTGGATGAAGTATCCATTACGAACTTCAAATACCAAATTTGAAACAATTCCGGTAAACAAAGTCGCTAAAATCATCAAAATATCGAATATCGGGGGGTACCGTTATATGGGGGCTATATGAAGACGTGGACCTACATGGCTCGTTTTTTGATTTAGGGTGTAGTATTCATTACGAACTTCAAATACCAAATTTGAAACGATTCCGGTAAACAATGTCGCTAAAATCATCAAAAAACCGAATATCGGGGGGTACCGTTATATGGGGGCTACAGGAAGACGTGGACCTGCACAGATAATTTTCTGTCTTAGGCTGTAGCATCCATTACAAACCTCAAATGTCAAATTTGAAATAATTCCGGTGAATAATGTCGCTAAAATCCTCAAAATACCGAATATCGGGAGGTACCGTTATATGGGGGCTATATGATAACTTGGACCTACATGGCCCATTTACGAACTTAACCTGCCTACTGGGAAAAAATGCATGTGTGCAAAATTTTAGCCTTCTATCTCAATTTGTTCGAAAGATAGCGTGATTACAACAGACAGACAGACAGACGGACAGACAGACAGACAGACACACAGACAGACAGACGGACATGGCTAAATCGTCTTAGAATTTTACGCTGATCAAGAATATATATACTTTATTGGGTCTGACATGAATATTTCGAGGAGTTACAAACGGAATGACAAAATTAATATACCCTCCATAGTATGGTGGAGGGTATAAAAATAATAATAAAGTCCGTTAAAAATTCTGTTAAAATCTTAAAAATACCGAATGCCTATACGACGTGGACCTGCATAGGCAACTTTTGTCATAAGTTATTACAATATTTTAATGCGAAACTTGAAGAAAAATCTGTTTATAATGTAGCTAAAATCATCAAAACACCGAATATAGGGGGTACCGATATATGGGGGCTATACGAAGACGTGGACCTGCACAGACAATTTTCTGGCATGGGCTGAAGTATCCATTACGAACTTCACATGCGAAATTTGAAACAATCCCGGTAAATAATGTCGCTAAAATCATCAAAATACCGAATATCGGGGGTACGGTACATGGGGGCTATACGAAGACGTGGACCTACACAGATTTTTTTCTGTCTTAGGCTGTAGTATACATTACGAACTTCAAATGCCAAATTTAGAACGATTCCGTTAAATGATGTCGCTAAAATCATCAAAATACCGAATATCGGGGGGTACCGTTATATAGGGGCTATACGAAGACGTGGACCTACACATATTATTTTCTGTCTTAAGCTGTAGTATCCATTACGAACTTCAAATGCCAAATTTGGAACGATTCCGGTGAATAATGTCGCTAAAATCATCAAAATACCGAATATCGGGAGGTACCGTTAGAAGGGGGCTATATGATAACTTAGACCTACATGGCCCATTTACGAACTTAACCTGCCTACTAGCAAAATATGCATGTGTGCAAAATTTTAGCCTTCTATCTCAATTTGTTCGAAAGATAGCGTGATTACAACAGACAGGCAGACAGACGGACATGGCTAAATCGTCTTAGAATTTTACGCTGATCAAGAATATATATACTTTGTTGGGTCTGACATGAGTATTTCGAGGAGTTACGAACGGAATGACAAAATTAATATACCCTCCATAGTATGGTGGAGGGTATAAAAATGTAAAAGTTATGGCTTTTTGCTTTATTACAATTTTTTATCACACCCTGTATTGCTAATTGTGGATTTTTAGGAACAGTTTTCAGAAGCCATTGGAATCATTTTCGGGATGTTGAAAAAAATAGTTTCTCCAAAAGTGGCCATTATTTTTTATACCCTACACCACATAGTGGTAAGGGTATTATGTCTTTGTGCATTTGTTTGTAACATGGAGAAGGAAACGAGATAGACCCATAGTTACTTTTGAGAACCTTCATAGAATCACTTTCTGAGTCGATTTATGCATGTCAGTCCGTCTGTCCGTCCGTCCGTCCGTCTGTCCATGTATTCTTGTGAACAAAATGCAGGTCGATTGAGATGAAATTTTCCAAACAATATTTTTTTGGTCCAAGGACGAACCCTATTGAAATTGGTGAGAATCGGATCAAATTTAGATATAGCTCCCATATATATCTTCATCCGATTTCGGGTTAAATGTGCACCAAATGTCCACTATCAGTCCAAATTACCTGAATTTTGGCACACCCAACCGAGTTCGGCCTAGAAGCAAGTATATCAAATTTGGAGAAAATCGGTTCAGATATAGCTATAGCTCCCATATACATTTTTCATCCGATTTGATCTTTAAGTCCCTCACATTCCTATTATGCACTCCACAACCGTGATATTTGGTACCAGGTATTAGATGGAGCACAGAAATAGCTGTTTTAAATTTTATCGAAATCGGTTCAGATTTGGATATAGCTCCCATATATATCTTCATCCGATTTCGGGTTAAATGTGCACTAAATGGTCAATATCAGTCCAAATCACCTGAATTTTCGTACATAAGACCGAATTCAGTCTAGAAGCTAATACGTAAAATTTGGAGAAACCCGGTTCGGAGATAGCTATAGTTCGTAAAATGCACGATAGAATTAGAAAATCTATCGATTTTGTACCAAATATCTCATAGAGCTCTGAAATTCCCTATATAAACCTTTTTGCGAGAGCTCTACTAAATATGCATAGTGGTGTAGGGTATCATATAGTCGGCCCCGCCCGACTTTTGAGCTTTCCTTACTGGTTTAAATATTATTCAATGATATTCTGCCTCTTTTATTTACTTAGATAATCGCGATATTTTATTAACTTTCAAAATCTTTAATTTTTGATTTTTTTTAAAACAGGTTTCAATACTCCGTCTGAGCCTAAAACGTGAATATCTTTTAAAAATATGTTTTTTTAAAAATATTATTTATTTTAAGAAATCAAAAAAAATCTTTTCATTTTTCCTAACAATTTTTTTTTTTTTGATGAACAATCAATTTTTTTCATTATTTTTATTCTTTCATTATTATATTTTTATAGTTAAATTGAAAATTGTATTTTATATTTTTTATTTATTTTTGGTTTCTCAGTGTTTTTCAGTACTAACTTCATCCTTCTGAAATAAAAACACACATGGAACTTGTTGTTTTGTTGGTTAGGTTTTATCAGTTCATTTTTTTGAAACGCGTTTCTTTATTATTATTTTAAAAAATTTTCTCTTTTTTTTGTTTAATTTAACTAATTTTACAATTTTTTTTTTGTTGGTTGGCTTTATATAAAATAACTTAAACATAAACTTATGTTTACTTTATATAAAATACAAAACGTTGTTTCCACTACATTCTCTTGCATGTGTAGGTGGGGTGGGTTGTGGTGGGTGTATGTGTGTATAAACAGTGTGTATTTATTTAAGTGTTTTGTTGTTGATTGCAAGGAATTCAAATAAAAAAAAACTTAACTTAAAATGACTTTGTAAATCTGGTTGGAATTTACTTGTTCAACAAGATCTTGCGGCTGGCGCCCAAGTTCTGGCCAGCTTGGGTGGCACCCTTGTTTTGACCGGCTTGCAAGCCAATGATGGTTTGGCCAGCCTTCAATTGTTCTTCGGTGAATTCACGCTTGCACTCATCGGCGGGCTTGGGGCCCAAGTAGGGACCGGTGAATTCAGGGTGTTTGTAGCACTGTTTGGAAAAAGGGAGAGAAACTTATAACTTGCCATCCATGAATGAGGTCATGACGTTTCAAATACTTACAGCACGGCCCAAAGCAAAGATGGTGTTGGTCACTTGAGCAATGTCCTTCTTTTCCCACAAGTCAACGGTTTGGAAGACATCCAAATCGGGGACACCGTAGGCCTTCAAGGCCTTTTGGAAGTTGTTGATGTTTTCCATCATCTTGAATTGGCCACCGCTGCTGTTGATCTTGGGCACGGCATTGGGGGACAAGATGTTGATCAGCTTGCACAAAACTTGACCGTCCTTGAGGTGATCTTCGTATTCAACACCGCCGGGGAACTTTTCACCCAAAATGGCTTCAATCCATTCTTGGGCTTCTTTGTCCATCTGGGGATTGCGCTTGGCGGCAATCTGTAAATAAAAATTAGCACACAATTTTTCCACATTAGTATCGTATCACACCATATTTGGTCACTACACATTTTTTATTCGATTAACATTTATTTTTGTAATTTTTTTTTTTTTTTTTTTTTTTTGTGATTCTAAAAATAAAATTATTTTTTCTTTTTTTTTTTTTTTAAATTCACCTTGGCTTTAACGGCACGTTCAAGAGACATGTTTGGATTTAGTTTTGACTTTAGCTAACGGTTCTTCACTAGAAGACTATCCAAAGTTGACTGATGCCGATCCTCGCCGTTGCCTGAGTTTATAAATGCCCATGATGATGGACCCAACGACCACACACCTAACGAGAAAAATCCACTCAAATCCATTGGATGATTCTCGGCAAAATTTCCACATTCTCAATCGAACACACATCATCACACACCTCACCACTTTGGGGTATGGGGTGGGAAAATCTAAAATTCAAGAATTTTCCAAAATATGAATTTTCTCAGCATTTTTCTCAAAACAAAAAGATGCTCAAGAGAAATGTACAAAACAGTGCGTGGGCGTTGTTTTTCAAAATCATCATCATGATGATGGTCTACACACTTAATAATTATGTTTTTTTTTGAAAATAATTATCATTAAAAATACTGTTGTTGCTCTCGTCATTTTCACCAAGCGCAGAGTTAAGGAAAATTTCCGATTTTTTTGTTTTTGTTTATTTATTATTTTTTTTAATTTCCATGTATTTTTCACTTTGTGTCAATGATGAGTGTTCAATTTAAAATTAAACTAACACTTAATTCCACTAGCAGAGATTGGCACACGCATGCCCACCCCCACCTTTTTTGATGGAAATTTAACGGTGGCGGATGTGGGGTGATAGTTGGCCTTTTTTGAAGCGACACGTTTATTTAACATAGATGTGGGGGAGTATTAGGGTCGTAATTGTGGACATGTGCAAAGGATATTATTTATGGGCCTATTGTGGGTCTCGTAAAAATTATGATTTTATTTTTGAAATTTTTTGTGGGTCTTAAAAAGCTATAAACGTGGATTTTAAAAATATTTTCGGAGAAGCCAATAGTACATTCTATTATAATATTTTTTTCGAGGCATACAGAACGTAAAATTGTTACCCTAAATATAACGGAATACTTTTTTATTCTTTTATTAATTTTTATACCCTACAACACTATGTGTTGGGGGTATTATAAGTTTGATTGGGCCAAAAATTATGTAACACCACGAAATATTGATTTCCCACATAGGAAAGTATATATGGATCTTCCTATCTCGCCGAGCTGAGTCGATCTAGCTATGTATGTCCGTCCGTCCGTCTGTCCATGTTAATTTGTAATCACTCTACAGGTCGCAATTATGGTCCGATCTTCACGAAATTTAAAATGGAGGTGGGGCTAGGGTCAGAATAGAACCCTATTTCTTTTGGTGATGATCGCATAATATTTAGGGGTTGAAATGGACCAAAAACTAAAAAAATTCCTGATTTTGCACTTGCTCTACAGGTCGCAATTATAGACCAATGGACTCGGAATTTCGCATGTAGCTAGAGTTTAGGGCTGGCAAGAAGCCTACTCATTTGGGTGGTCATCGGATAATATTTAGCGGGTAAAATAGACCATATCTTTTTTGTTGAAATAATTCAAAATTTTTCATTAAACCGCGAATATTTTAAATCCCGGCAAAATCACAAAGCCATGACAAGGTTACTTCTGATCTTTACATTGATGTTAACATCCAACAAATCGGATATATAGCAAAATATGTGCGATATATATGTCTATCAAAGAAGATATGCTTGAAAGATCTCTTTTATGTCGAGAACGGCTGAACTGATTTCGACAGTTCTCATTAATTCAGAATGGCCTCTTGGCAGGAAACATAAAACGTCTAAAAAATCGCATAAAAATATCTCTCTAAAGATGATAATATTGATTTTGTAAAATTTTCTCATATTTTTTCAATTTTGTCATATTTTTGGCATATTTTCATTTTGAATGAAACATTTGGTAATATTTCTACAGCTAACAAAACTAAGTAGTTAGGATATCAGGATATCATATACAGATCGCATTTATGGCCCGATACTTACGAAATTTTGCATGGGGATAAGATGAGGGTCAGAATAAAAGCCTATTCTTTTTGGAGATGATCGCCATATATTTAGGGGTTGAAATGGACCTGCAAAATTGTCAGCAGGTCGTAATTGTGGGGGTTACCGGACATTGCAAAAGCCAAGCAGTTTTGGATGGTCATCCAAAAATGTTCAATGTGTGAAGGAGTTTGCCAACTTTTATAGACAAAATACGAAAATGTCCATTCCAGTGACTTTTTGGAGAATTCACAAATACAGGAAAGACACACTTCCGACTATTTCGTTAAGGCTGATTTCGTTGAAGAATATAGTCAAATGGCTGTATCTCATATAGATGCGTTTCAGTCAAAAAGCAATAATAAATGTTAATCTTTTGCCACTTCTTAGAGATTATAGGTCTTTGGGAAATATTGGTTCCAGATCTAGGAAGACTATTTACGTGCAACATCTACCAATAAATTGGAAATGAGCAAATTAGTTTAAGTTGCTATTATTCGAAAATTAGAGAACGAAACCTGATGGTATTATTTTATTATTTGTCACAATATCTTGTGGAATTCATTCGAGTATCTCGCCTATATAAACAGTATCGTTTATTATAGCGTTGTAGGGTATTCAACGGTCGGCCCCGCTCGACTGTAGCCTTTGCTTACTTGTTTTTTTATCATTTTAGCTACTTTTATAAATTTAAAATATTTTGGAAATAACTTTTCGATCTTACTCGTATAATATTAGACCATATTTTCAGGTAACTTCAAAATCTTTATCGTTGATGTTTTTGGGCTGCTTTAGGATACTAATCGTGGATTTAGAAATAGTTTTTAAAATTTTCTTTTGAATACTTTAAAGCTGCGAAATTGTGGTCTCACTTCGAATGTTAAGAATGTTTGATGAGGGAGCTTTATAGCTATATTTCGTGAATTTCGAAAAAATTATTTTTTTTACTTTTTTTATATTTCATTTCATTCAAATTATTGGTACGGCTAAAAACGCGCCCCATCGAAATAACGCTCTAGCCAAGCCCTAGGTCTCTTGTATCAAATCCGTTTTCGAATTTGGGTCAGTCTCGAATTTGGTCAGTCTTGATGGCGGTAAGCGTACGATAAGCAAGGATTTTTGAAAATTAGTACTAGAAGGGTATGAAAAGTACTAAAATGACCTAAAAATTGAAAAATTTGTATAGGACAAACAGAATAAATTCTTAAATTTTGGATGAGAGTCACAAATGGAGTGCAGGACAGATATACAAAAGCTCTTTTCGATCTTTATGATTACGAACAGTTCTAAAATGGTATAATTTGGTATTATGTGAACGGATACAGCTAAAAAGATAAAATTTAATATGAGATAAAATTTAATATGAGAATAAGGGTCCATACATAGTATGGAGGGTATGTAGGCCTAGGGTAGGCCTAACAAAGTATATATATTCTTGATCAGCGTCAAATTCTAAGACATAATCATGCTAGGGTTAAAAACTAATTAATTAAGCTATAATTTTGTTCGAAGGTGGGCTATATCGGTCCACGATATCAAATGCCACCCCCACCCCCCCACCCCAGATAACGGTACCACAGATATTCCGAATGTTGATGGTTTTAGGCGCATTTTTCAATGGAATTGTCTGGTACCGCCTGATATTCTGAATTTTGATGTTTTTAGTCACATTTTTCAATGGAATTGTCTAAAATTCCACACAAGGAGTTCTCTATGCGTACTTTTTACCCTCAAAGAGAATTTTCTATGTAGGTCCTCGATATCGTATAGCCCCCATATAACGGTACCCCCAATATTCGGTGTTTTTTTTTTTTTTTTTTTTTTTTGATTTTAACCACATTTTTCAATCGAATTGTCTGAAACTCTACACAGTGAGTTCTTCGTGACTACTTTACCCCTTTGAAAAAGGATTGTCTATATAGGTAGGATATCGTATATCCCTCATATTACTAACTCCCGACCTTAGAGATTTTGATGATTGTAGTCACATTTTTCAATAGCATTGTCTGAAATTCTACACAAGAAGTTCTCTGTGAGTACTTTACCCCCTTAAAGAGAATTTTCCATATAGGTCCACGATATCCTACAGCCCTCATACAATGGTACCACCGATATTCGGAGGGGTAAAATGACGTTTTTATACCCTCCCATACTATGAAGGGTATATTAACTTTGTCATTCCGTATGTAACTCCTCGAAATACTTATGTCCGATCTAACAAAGTATATATATTCTTGATCGGCGTAAAATTCTAAGTCGATTTAGCGATGTCCCTCTGTCTGTCTGTTGTAATCACGCTGTCTTTCGAACGAATTGAAATAGAAGGCTAGAATTTTACACACATGTTTACTTTTCCAGTAGGCAGGTTAAGTTCGTAAATGGGCCATGTAGGTCCACGTTTTCGTATAGCTCCATATAAATGTACCTCCCGATATTCGGTATTTTCATGATTTTAGCGACATTTTTTAACAGAATTTTTTCAAATATGGTATTTGAAGTTCGTAGTGGATACTACAGCCTATGACAGAAAATTGTCCGTGCAGATCCACGTCTTCGTATCGCCCCCCTATTTCAGTACCTCCCAATATTTGGTATTTTGATGATTTTAGCGTCATTATTTACCAGAATTGTTTCAAATTACGTATTTAGAGTTCGTAATGCGAACTACACTCAGTGTAAGAATATTGCCTATACAGGTCCAGGTCTTCGTATAGACCCTATACATCAGTAGCTCCCTATATTCGGTTAGGTATTAGGTACAATACCCACCAAAATTGTTTGAGTTGTCGTATTTGAAGTTCGTATAGGCCCTATACATCAGTAGCTCCCTATATTCGGGTAGGTATTAGGTACAATACCCACCAAAATTGTTTGAGTTGTCGTATTTGAAGTTCGTATTGGATGCTACAGCCTGTGACAGAAAATTGCAGGTCTTCGCACAGCTCCTACATAACGGTATCTCCCTATATACCATATTTTGATGAATTTAGCTTCACCGTTTTCGAATTTAAATATGGTAATGGCTTATAAAAAAGAATGTCTATGTAGGTCCACATCGTATAGACTCCAAAATAACGGCTATATTCGGTGTTTTTAAAATTTTAATAGAATTTTTTAAGAATTTTATTTTTTGAAAATTTCCAAATTTGTTCCAAATGGTGGAGGGTATTTAAAGTTCGGCCCGGCCGAATTTACTGCTTTTTAACTTGTTTTTTTTTTTTTTTTTTTCAAATAATATCAGTAATGGATTATTGGAGGACCTTTAAACGAATAATCATCTTTATTGGAAAAATTTGTGAGTATCCTATGGGGAATCTTTCAGTCTTTTGTTTTGCTACAATTTAGCACTTTAAGGCCCCCTTTTGAATTTCAAACATTTCCCCCTTTCCCTACCCTGTTGCATTCTTTTCGCGTTCCCAACAAATTTACTTTTATTTAATAATTTAATGCCATGTTTTTTTGTGTATCAAAAACATTTGTTTACACAAAAAAATATTTGTTTGCTTTGCATATCGAACTAAAATTGAGTGCATTTTTTCCAATGTTTTTTTTTTTTTTTTTTCTTTTTTTTTGATCTTGGAAATATTACGAAATTTGTTCAAACGAAACGAAACATTGTTTATTGCTGACAAGACTCTTTCCAATTGCACTGTGAAATATGTCTTGGATCAGTCATCGATTTAAAATTAACCAGTAAAGAAAGTCTTAAAGTCGGGCGGGGCCGACTTTATGATACCCTACACCACTTTGCTAATTTAGTAGAGCTCCACATAACAATTAAAAGTTTTTATGGGAGAATTCAATCATACACGCTATGATTATAATTATAATTTAAAGTTCAAAGGACTAAACATGCCGAAGCATTTGTATCTTTTAAATTCGGACTTGTATTGACCATTTGGTGCACAATTAATTTGAAATCGGATAAATATATATATGGGAGCTATATCCAAATCTGAACCGATCATGATAAAATTTGGCAAAGATATTTCTGAGCTGTATTTGATATATTTCCCTGAATATCGTTGTTACGGAGTGCATATTACGGTTGTGGGTAACAAATATAACAAATCGGATGAATAATATATATGGAGGCTATAGCTATATCTGAACCGATCTTCACCAAATTTGACATGCTAGCTTCTAGACTCAATTCGGTCGTATGTGCCAAATTCCATCCCATTTGGACAAATATTAGACGTTTGGTGCACAATAAAAGGTAATTCGGCCGAAGTTATATATGGGAGCTATATCCAAATCTGAACCGATGTCGATAAAATTTTGCAAATGTATTTCTGAGATGTATTTGATATATTTCCCTAAATATTGTTGTTGCAGAGTGCATATTACGGCAGCGGTGGACAAAAATAACAAATCGGATGAACAATATATATGGGAGCTATAGCTATATCTGAACCGATTTCGATCAAATTTGGCATACATATTTTCAGGCCTAATTTGGTTGTATGTGCAAAATTCCATACAATTCGGGCTGATATTACACGTTTGGTGCACAATAAAAGGCAAATAGGACGAATATATATATGGGAGCTATATCTAAATTTTGACCGATTATCTCCAATTTCAATAGGGTTCGTCCTTGGGCCAAACAAATGATCTGTGCAAAATTTCATCTGGATCGGGCAATAAATGCGACCTGTACTTTGTTTACAAAAATACATGGACAGACGGACGGACGGACGGACAGACGGACGGACGGACGGACAGACGGACGGACGGACATGCATAAATCGACTCAGAATGTGATTCTATGCAGATCATCAAAAGGAACTATGGGTCTATCTCGTTTCCTTTTGCCTGTTACAAACAAATGCACAAAGACATAATACCCTGACCACCTTGTGGTGTAGGGTATAAAAAGGAGAAGCCCACCACCACCCCACTAGATGTGTGAAATATTTTCATAATTTTGTGCTTTGCTATTTTTATACAAAGTGTATGTGTGTGTGTGTTTGTTCGCTTAACAGTGTATCGGACATTATCAAAAAAGAAAGAAGTGCCAAAAATATGATTGAAAATCCATGTTTATTGATTTTTGTATAGATGCATGTGTGTGTGTGTGTGTTGATACTCTTGCCCCTAATTACATTAAACGTAAACAGTAATGCGGTTCATTGGCGGCATCACTTTTCCAATTTGGTTTTCCCAAATTGAATTATGAAAAGTCGAAATGTTTTCAATATTTCACAAATCATTTTATTTGTAATCAATTATCCGCAGACTGAGAATGCCAAGTGTTTGGAAATGCAGTTCAAAAGAAAATTTTGAATAGATGTTTCTTTTTGAAAATTTTGAAATATTACTTAGCACAGATGTTTGAAAATATGTAAAGTATTTGGAAAAAATCAAATGTAATTTTTTTTTATTAAAAGAATGACTGGAATCGGATGTTAATTTCGCGTTTTATGAGTTTCATGGATATTCAAAATTTTGACCCTTTGTACCACAGGCACTGGACCTATATATCCCATCTTCTCCGCAGATCCTGTTAGTAAAAATAATGGGATGTGTGAAATCTGAAGAGAACCGCATGCTTATTTCAGATTTTATGATAGTTTTGGTTATTCAGAACTTTGACCCTTTGTGTGGGAGGTACCAGAAGGAATAGTACGATCTCTACCATCTTTATAGCATATCTAGTATTAACGGAAATATTGGGATGTGCAAAGTCTGAATGGAATCGGATGTTTATTTCGCCTTGTATGTGCTTCATAATTATTCAATGTTGACCCTTTGTGGGGGAGGTATCAAATGGAGTGCACCGATATATTTCATCTTCACACCAAACCTTGGGTTAATAAAAATATTGCGATGTGCGTACTTTGATGACAATTGGAATCTTTCATCGCATGTTATAATATTTATAAATATTCAAATTATTTACCTTTTGCGGGAGATGTACTTGATCGAGTGGACCGATGGGTCCATTTTCGCATCTCACCTAGCACTGATGGTGATATTAGAATTTGCAAAGTTGGAGCTAAATTCGATTATCCTTTCTCTTCCTGTGCTGATTTTTTTTTTTAATTTCGACTTTTTGCCCATATCCGATCTCGATCTAAGGTTGATAATAATATTACGATATACCAAGTTTGGACGAAATCGGATAATCCCTTCGAGAGTAATCGTGAGCACCAGCCAGCCAGACAGACGGACGGACATCGCTAGATCGACTCAAAATGTTCTTAAAAAATCCAAAATATATTCCGATGGTCCGTGAAAAAATATTTTAAAAAAATCTACGATCTTAAATCCGATGGTCCGTGAAAAAATATTCTAAAAACAATTCCACCATTTTAGATCCGATGGCTCGTGAAAAAATATTCTTAAAAAACCCACGATTTTAGACCCGATGTTCGGTGAAAAAATATTCTGAAAAAATCCACGACTTTAGATCTGATGGACCATGAAAAAGTATAGCTCCGGTGTTCCGTGAAAAATATTTTGAAAAAATCCACGATTTTAGATCCGATGGTCCGTAAAAAATATTCTGAAAAAAAACACGATTTTAGATCCGATGGTCCGTGGAAAAATATTCTTAAAAAATCCACGATTTTAGATCCGATGGTCAGTGAAAAAATATTCTGAAAAAATCCCGATGGTCAGTGAAAAAATATTCGTAAAAAATTCACGGTCCGTAAAAAAATATTCTGAAAAAATCCACGATTTTAGATCCGATGGTCCATAAAAATATTATGAAAAAATCCACGATTTTAGATCCGATGGTCAGTGAAAAAATATTCTTAAAAAATCCACGATTTTAGATCCGATGGCCAGTGAAAAAATATTCTGAAAAAATTCACGATTTTAGATCCGATGGCTAGTGAAAAAATATTCTGAAAAAATCCACGATTTTAGATCCGATGGTCAGTGAAAAAATTATTCGGAAAAAAATACACGGTCCGTGAAAAATATTCAGAAAAAATCCAGTTCAAAAAATTCTTGAAAATACACGATTTTGGTCTAGTGCTCCTTCTTTCTTCTTTCGTTGGGTTCTTGAATGCTTTTTTTTTTTCTTTTAAATCTTACAATTATTGTTCTGTTGGTTCTTGAAAAATAATATTTAAAAATCTACAATTTTCGGTCAGATGGTCCATAAATATTATGCTAAGATTAGTCCTTGATGGTATTTTAAAAAATTCACTAAAAATCCACGATTATTGACGGTCCTTGAAATAATATTCAAGAAAAGTCTCGATCCTTGAAAACTATTCGTTAAAAATTCGGGATAATTTTATCAGATCCTAAAAAATGCTCTTAAAATCCATGATTCGTAATCTGATAGTCTTCCCAATAAATATTCTTAAAAATTCACCCATTGTGGTTTGATGCTCCTTGAAAAAAAAAATCCTTAAAAATTCCACGATTATGGCTTTGATAGTCTTTAGTAAAAAATGTTTTCCTATTTTTTCTTTTTTTTTCTTTTTCCAACAGATTTCCCGAGGGACACTTCTTCAGGAAAAGAAAATTTTCAAAAATCTTTCAAATCCCCAATTTAGGAAACTTCTTGAATGCAATTAACCGGACTACGAGTTGCCCAGAACGTATCAACACTACTTAGACGGCATATTTCAGTAAGTCTTAAAGCTAGCATCAACGCCACCACAATGACTGCCGATACCACTGCCAATTTGATAGGTTCTGAAACTAATATTTCCCCCCTCAAGTATCCGGTGGCACGCAAAGATGAAAGCGTCGTAGAAACCCACCACGGTGTTGAGGTCAAAGATGTCTATCGTTGGCTTGAGGATCCCGATGCGGAGGAGACACAAAAATATGTCGAGGAACAGAATAAAATCAGTCAACCCTTCTTGGAAGGTTGTGAGTCGTGGAAGAAAATCAATGAGAAACTAACCAAACTGTGGAACTATGAAAAGTATGGTTGTCCCATGAAACATGGAAAGTATTATTATTTCTATAAGAATTCCGGTCTGCAGAATCAGAGTGTTATGTACCAGCAGGACTCGTTGGATGGGGAGCCACGTTTGTTTTTCGATCCCAATGCCTTGTCCAGTGATGGCACCATTGCCCTGGCCCAAAAATCCTTTTCCGAGGATGGCAAATATATGGCCTACGGTTTGAGTGCCAGCGGCTCGGATTGGATCAAGATTTATATTCGCGATGTGGAGACGGGTAAGGATCAGGAAGAGGTATTGGAAAAAGTGAAATTTTCTGAAATTTCATGGACCAAGGACAACAAGGGCTTCTTCTATGGTCGCTATCCCAATCAGGAGGGTAAAACCGATGGTTCAGAAACCAAATCAAATGAAAATCAAAAATTGTATTACCATTATGTGGGCCAACCTCAAGAGAAGGATGTTCTCATTGCCGAGTTTCCCGAAGAGCCCACATGGCGCATACAATCTGTGGTCTCCGATTGTGGCAAATATCTGATACTGGCAATTGTCAAGGATTGCCGTGACAATATTGTCTACTATGCCGACTTGGAGCCCGGTGCAGAAATAACCGGCAAATTGCAAGTCAAGAAAATTGTTACCAAATTCGAATCCGATTATGATTACATCACCAATACCGGCTCCAAAGTGTACTTCCGCACGAATAAAGATGCCTCCAACTACCGTGTCATCATGATTGATTTTGAAAACCCTGCCCAGGAAAATTGGCAAACTCTCATCCCCGAACATGCCACCGATGTTTTGGATTGGGTCCATTGTGTCAATGAGGACAAATTGGTCTTGGGCTATATTCAGGATGTGAAGAGTGCACTGCAGGTTAATTCCCTGCAAACCGGGGAGTTGATACATAAATTTGATTTGGACATTGGTACCATTGTGGCCTTATCGGGAAAGAAGAAAGAATCCGAGCTGTTCTACAACTTTTCTTCTTTCCTGACACCGGGAACCATTTATCATTATAACTTCAAGTGGAATAATTTTACACCCAAAGTTTTGAGGGAAATCAAGCTAAACTTGGAAGGTTTCTCACCCTCCAACTACAAAGTGGAACAGGTGTTCTATGAAAGCAAGGACTCCACCAAGATCCCCATGTTTATTGTGTACAAAAATACGAAGGCGGAAAAGAGAACACCACGCCCCTGCTTTTTGTATGGCTATGGTGGTTTCAACATTAGCATGCAGCCCTCGTTTGGTATCACGGGTCTGATGTTCATCGACACCTTTGATGGTGTCATTGCCTATCCCAATTTACGTGGTGGCGGAGAGTATGGTGAAAAATGGCACAATGCCGGACGTTTGTTGAACAAACAAAATGTTTTCAATGACTTCCAAGCGGCGGCTGAATATTTAGTGGCCAACAACTATACCACCAAGGATCGTTTGGTAATACAGGGTGGTTCCAATGGTGGGTTGCTCGTAGGTGCCTGTATCAACCAACGTCCTGATCTCTTTGGAGCCGCCGTGGCCCAGGTGGGTGTTATGGATATGCTGCGTTTCCACAAATTCACCATTGGCCATGCTTGGTGTTCCGACTATGGCAATCCCGATGAAAAGGAACATTTCGAGAACCTCATCAAGTATTCTCCGCTACACAATGTCCATACACCCAAGTCGCCGAGTGAAGAATATCCCTCAACTTTGGTGCTCACTGCCGATCATGATGATCGTGTTAGTCCATTGCATTCGTTGAAATTCATTGCCGCCCTGCAAGAGGCCGTACGCAATTCGGAATACCAGAAAAATCCCATTTTGCTGCGTGTCTATAGCAAGGCAGGTCATGGTGCCGGTAAACCCACATCGAAACGCATTGAAGAGGCAACGGATGTGTTGACCTTTATGCTGCGAAGTCTCAACATTGATAAGGTCAATTTGTAATGAAACAACTTGTCATTGTGTTTGTGTCGTTACTATTTTTGGGCAGAAAATATTGAAATAAATCAAAACAAATTCAAATTATTATCGTAAAGAAAAGCTTGTAAATTTTGCTTCAACTTCTTCTTCTCATTATATTGTATTTCTCCTCCCATTCTAAATATCTTTTTAATTAATAAAAAAATTAATAAATTAAAAAAGATATTTGAATATTTGAATTTTTATTATTATTTCGATTTGTTTGTCGATGCCGTGGATTGAAAGTTTTAGTTTGTTTCATAGCCAAAGGAAGTAATTAGTGGGTTATATTTTAGCTTTACAAGAACGACGGACAATATTTCTTTTATTTTAAATAAAGTGACTGTGCTATTTGAGTGAACATCACGTAAGTATATTTCGTATACTCGTGGTGTCATTTTTGCTGTGTATTAGTTGTTGCATTTACCGCCAACAACCATTTTCAAGGCTCTAAATTACGGCGTAATTTAGAACCCAAATTACAGATCCTTCGTCATTGTGGGAATCTGTACACCGGCAAAATTGTATATATGAACATTATAGTATTTTGAATAACAACTCAAAGTGTGGGGTCTAGGAGGTCTATTGACTCTAGTTGTGTCAATGCACTTTATGTATACGATTTTGTGACTAAGTAACATTTATCTGAACTTTTTTATAGATACGATCCAATTCTCGTGGAGTTAGCTGTGAACTGTCAAATTATTAGACCAATGTGAGGACTTCTAACGCCATAATCCTGAAAATATCAAGGTGTGGAAATTGATGAATTGATTTGATACTGAAATAATAAAAATTCCTTTTTGAAACCTCTCACATACCATGCCTACGCATGGTCTATTGATGCATTAAGGTACCAAATAGCTTCGAATTTCCTCATATCAAGAATAAATTGGTAATCAATCATTCACCAAGTTCTGGAGATGGTGCAGTGTTGGTGTGGAAAGAAAATGATTTAAAAGTTGAATGTATTTAAAATTGTTGCCCTCATGGATTATTTCATGATAGGGATTCTTATAGGGATATATTTTGTTTTGAGACAAATCACATCTGAACGTATGCCCTATTGCCATCTTCACGATCCTCAAAACTCAAATTCTGTAGATGCTTTAGTTGTTGTGGATATAAATTGTAAATTCGATTTTACTGATATTGAATTGCATACATCGTTTCGATATCGAAAGAGGCCTATCTTACCTTAAATTGGGTGCTCAGAATTTTCTCCCATGAAGGTAAACTGTGTATGCCAGCTGCTACCGAAAACACTTACCGTGATCTTCATAACTCATCTTGGGAATTATGAAATTTATTTGAAAGTAAATGTTCTCTTCATTCTGAATTTCATGATTGTGAAATAAATAGGAATATTCTATTTTTACCGCACTACTAAAGCAATTGTGGCCTTAAACAAGTAAGCAAAGGCTACAGTCGAGCGGGGCGACCGTTGAATACCCTACAACACTATAATAAATGATACAGTTTATATAGACGAGATACTCGAAAGAATTCCACAAGATATTGTGACAAATAATAAAAGAAAACCATCAGGTTTCGTTCTCTAATTTTCGAATAATAGCAACTTAAACTGCGTCTTTCCTGTATTTGTGAATTCTCCAAAAAGTCACTGGAATGGACATTTTCGTATTTTGTCTAGAAAAGTTGGCAAACTCCCTTACGCATTGAATATATTTGGATGGCCATCCAAAACTGCTTGGCTTTTGCAATGTCCGGTAACCCCCATTCAAATGTGCGTGAGGATCGGGCGATAATTACGACCTGCTGACATTTCAACCCCTAAATATATGACGATCATCTCCAAAAAGAGTAGGCTTCTATTCTGACCCTCATCTTATCCCCATGCAAAATTTCGTAAGGATCGGGCCATGAATGCGATCTGTATATGATATCCTGATATCCTAACTACTTAGTTTTGTTTGCTGTAGAAATATTACCAAATGTTTCATTCAAAATGAAAATATGCCAAAAATATGACAAAATTGAAAAAATATGAGAAAATTTTACAAAATTAATATTTTCATCTTTAGAGAGATATTTTTATGCGATTTTTTTAGACGTTTTTTCTTTCCTGCCACGAGGCCATTCTGAATTAATGAGAACTGTCGAAATCAGTTCAGCTGTTCTCGACATATAAGAGATCTTTCAAGCATATCCTCTTTGATAGACATATATATCGCACATATTTTGCTATATATCCGATTTGTTGGATGTTAACATCAATGTAAAGATCAGAAGTAACCTTTTCATGGCTTTGTGATTTCGCCGGGATTTAAAATATTCGCGGTTTAATGAAAAATGTTGAATTTTTTCAACAAAAAAGATATGGTCTATTTTACCCGCTAAATATTATCCGATGACCATCAAAATTGGTAGGCTTCTTCCCCGCCCTAAACTCCAGCTACATGCGAAATTCCGCGTCGATTGGTCTATAATTGCGACCAGTATAGCTACTGCAAAATTCGACATTTTTTCAATATTTGGTCCATTTTAACCACTAAATATTATGCGATTATCTTCAAAAGAAATAGGGTTCTATTCTGACCTTAACCCCACCTCCATTCTAAATTTCGTGAAGATCGGACTATAATTGCGACCTGTAGAGTGATTACAAATTAACATGGACAGACGGACAGATGGACGGACGGACATACATAGCTAGATCGACTCAGCTCGGCGAGCTAGGAAGATCCATATATACTTTCCTATATGGGAAACCAATATTTCGAGGTGTTACATAAATTCTGGCCCAATCAAACTTATAATAAATACCAAATTTTGAAATTGGTTATACTGATTCAATATAAATGAAATATTGACATTTTTAATTTTATTTGTCATATTTTTTTATATTTTGCAAATTCCTTCCATGTAGCGGAGGGTGTTCAAAAGTACCGACCGGCCGAACTTAGCTGCTTTTCATTGCTTGTTTTTCTGAATATAATTCGGATCGTTCTGGTTTTTGGCACTGCATTTAACCTTTGGTTATTAGTGCCTAACCATGCTATGGTCTTCAATAACTTCCATTTCTTCAAATAGACACCGGTTATAAAATTCAATCCCAAATATTTGCAGCAAAATCAATTGGTAGGGAAAATGTGGTGCAAAATTGGATGGTAAAAGAAGGATAAGTCGTTCCGACCTGTGACCAAATCACCGCATTCGTTATCCAGTTCTGTAAATTTTTGTGGATCACCGCATTCAATCGTAATTTTTTTTTATCAACTACTTTTTTATACCCTCCACCATACTATGGAGGGTATATTAACTTTGTCATTCCGTTTGTAACTCCTCGAAATACTCATGTCAGACCCAACAAAGTATATATATTCTTGATCAGCGTAAAATTCTAAGTCGATTTAGCCATGTCCGTCCGTCTGTCCGCCTGTTTGTTGTAATCACGCTATCTTTCGAAGGAATTGAGATAGAAGGCTAAAATGTTGCACACGTGTTTATTTTTCCAGTAGGCAGGTAAAGTTCGTAAATGGGCCATGTAGGGCCACGTTTTCATATAGCCCCCATATAACGGTACCTCCCTATATTCGGTATTTTGATGATTTTAGCGACTTTATTCACCGGAATTGTTTAAAATTTGGTATTTGAGATTCGTAATGGATACTACAGTCTATGACAGAAAATTGCCTATGCAGACCCAGGTCTTCGTATGGGCCCCATATATCAGTACCTCCCTATATTCGGTATTTTGACGAGTTTAGGTACAATACTCGCCGAAATTGTTTAAGATATCGTATTCGACGTTAGTAATGGATGCTATAGCCTATGACAGAAAATTGTCTATGCTCGTCCAGGTCTTCGCACAGCTCCGATATAAAGGTACCTCCCTATATACGACATTTTGATGATTTTAGCTATATTATTCACCGTTTATTTCAAGTTTCGAATTTGAATATGGCAATGGCTAATGGCAAACAATGCCTATGTAGGTCCATGTCGTATAGACCCCAATATAACGGCTATATTCGGTATTTTTTAAAATTTTAACAGAATTTTTTAAGGATTTTATTTTTTGAAAATTTCCAAATTCGTTCCAAATGGCGGAGGGTATTCAAAGTTGGGCCCGGCCGAACTTACTGCTTTTTAACTTGTTTACATTGCTGTAAACATATGATAATAAGAAATTCGAAAGCGAAAGATAATTTCAAAATAAATTCTTGTGATCGAAATATGTCATTTCTGAGAAATTTGTATTTTTTTGGTGTGATAAAATATATATTTAAAAAAATATATTATGAATCCAAGTGTTTTTTTTTTTGTTTTCCTCGTCTTTGGTTTCAGAAAAAAACATCACAAAATCCGTGGTCCATTTTACAGCTAAATATAATCCAATGATCACCTCAATTTTTAATTTCGTGGGGATCGGGCCATAATTCCGACCTGTAGCTTGATTACAAATTAACACGGATGGACGGATATACATAGCTAGATCGACTCACTTACCTTTTACCGCGCAAAAAATCACTACATAATTCGTATTCGACAATATACTACCTATCGTGTACAACTTCGTCATGGGGCCCGTCATGATTTAAATAGATGTCAGGAGTATGCAAATGAAAAATGTCCCTATATTCGTTGCTCTTAATCTGCAGTATGTTTCAAGGTTTTATTAAGATATGACTTTTTTGAAATTTAGACATGAATTAGCTGTGACCAAAAATAATTCTGGTCGGATATCTATTTGAAAGCAATGAATATCGAAAATTATTTGTATTAAACTAAATAAACCCGAATTGAATAATGCTATTATAGCCATAATATCGAGTTCATACAAGGATTAGTCAGCATCCTGTTCCATGCCCAAATGAACAATATCGCTCTACTTTGACAATCTGCACAAAATATAAATTTTGGTCGGTTGTCAAATCGATAAGTGGGCCGAAATTCGAAAAAAATATCACTCCATTTAAAAATTTTCACGGAGATTCCAATGGGGCTATTTTATAAATGCTTGTATAGATCTAATTGGGTCATTTGGTAGCATGTTTTGGTCATATCCTATTTGAGGTTCAAAGAAGTGCTTAAAAACTGATTTATTGATTTTAAGTACGAATTCTCACGCGTAAAGTTTGTCGGAAACAAAATCGTGTTTTTTGGAGACCAAGGCCCGAAAAAGAGACATTTACCACATTTAATTTCCCTCATTCCAAAATAAACACACTTTTCTTTTTGGTTTACTTTCTCCATGTGTTTATGGACTAAAGACCCTGAATTGAAAAAGAAACAAGTCTACCATTTATGAACCTGAAAATATTGGCAGTGCGTGTTATACTTATTTTAGAAATTGTAATCAAACCAGTAAAAGTACCCATTACTTTGGTAAGGCATGTCGCTCGAAGTAAGTAGTTATTTTTTGTTCTCCAAAAGTCTAAAAAATGAACTTTTTCGTACTTTTTTAGATGTACTTATTTATTGAATGTTAGTGGTTCGAAAATAATTTTTATTTTGTGCGATATGCCTTTGTTTAAATAATGGGTTGGTAACCACATTTGTAATGGGTATTTTTGCTGGGGATATATTACTATTTAATATATGCTTCTAATTTCAACTTCATCTATTGCTCTCTTCCACAGATCTCGCCAAAAATTCAAAGGATATTTAAAGGTAAATATTGAACAATCAAGATAATAACAGCCTAAAAATTGTTTCTACCATACTTTTTATCCAATCCCACAGGACCTAGTACCATGACTGTATACGACGCCTCCACATTGCTGGGTTGTGATAACAAAATTTCCCCCCTCCAATACCCTGTGGCCCGAAGAGATGAAAGTGTGGTGGAAACCCATCATGGTGTCGAGGTCAACGATGTCTATCGTTGGCTGGAAGATCCCGATGCGGAGGAAACTCAAAAATATGTCGACCAACAGAATAAAATCAGTCAACCGTTCTTGGAAGGCTGTGAGGCATGGAAGAAAATCAATGAGAAATTTACCAAACTCTGGAACTATGAAACCTATTATTGTCCCGTTAAACATGGCAAATATTATTATTTTGAAAAGAACACTGGCCTCCAAAATCAAGATGTGATGTATCAGCAGGACGCCCTGGATGCAGAGCCAAGATTATTTTTCGATCCCAATGCCTTATCCGAAGATGGCACCATTGCCTTGGTGGAGAAATCATTTTCCGAAGATGGCCAATATATGGCCTATGGTTTGAGTGCCAATGGTTCGGATTGGTTTAAGATACACATACGCAATGTAGAGACGGGTAAAGATTTGGAAGATGTATTGGAAAAAGTGAAATTCTCAGAGATTTCTTGGACCAAAGACAATAGGGGATTTTTCTATTGCTGCTATCCCCATCAGGAGGGTGTAACAGACGGATCCGAGACGCAAATGAATGAAAATCAAAAACTCTACTATCACTATTTGGGCCAGCCTCAGGAAAAAGATGTTCTTATAGCCGAGTTTCCCGAGGAGCCTACCTGGCAATTTCAAACTGTGGTCTCGGATTGTGGTAAATACCTTGTTATGTTAATTTCCAAGGAATGTCGTGACAATTTAATCTACTATGCCAATTTGGAACCCGAAGCAGATATAACCTCAAAATTGCCGATTAAGAAAATTATTGAAAAATTCGAATGTGATTATGAGTACATTACGAATAATGGTTCCAAAATGTACTTCCGCACCAATAAAAATGCCTCCAACTATCGTATCATCATGATTGATTTTGAAAATCCCCGGGAGGAGAATTGGCAGACCCTGATACCGGAACATGCCACCGATGTTTTGGATGCTGTACGCTGTGTAAACGAAGATAAGCTGATCATTCACTATCTGCATGATGTGAAGAGTGTCTTGCAATTGCATTCCCTGCAGTCGGGTGAATTGTTACATAAATTCCAATTGGACATGGGCAGCATTGTGGGTTTGACGGGAAAACGAAAATCCTCGGAATTGTTCTATCAATTTTCATCATTCCTAACACCGGGAATCATTTATCACTACGACTTTAAGTGGAATAATTTCACTGCCAAGGTGTTGCGGGAAATAAAAATCAATTTGGAAGGATATTCGCCCTCCAATTATAAGGTGGAACAGGTGTTCTATGAAAGCAAGGATGCCACCAAGATTCCCATGTTTGTGGTCTACAAAAACTCCAACTCGGAAAAGAAAACACCACGACCATGTTTTCTGTACGGCTATGGAGGTTTCAATTGCAGTATCTATCCCTCGTTTAGTGTTAAGGATGTCATGTTTCTGGACACTTTCGATGGCGTCATTGCCTATCCGAATATTCGCGGTGGTGGGGAGTATGGTGAAAAATGGCACAATGCCGGACGTTTGTTGAACAAACAAAATGTTTTCAATGACTTTCAAGCCGCTGCTGAATTTTTAATTGCCAACAACTACACCACCAAGGATCGTTTGGTAATTCAAGGTGCTTCCAATGGTGGGTTGTTGATTGGAGCCTGCATTAATCAGCGTCCAGATCTCTTTGGAGCCGCCATAGCTGAAGTGGGAGTCATGGATATGCTGCGTTTTCACAAATTCACCATTGGCTATGCATGGTGTTCGGATTTTGGCAATCTCGATGAGAAGGAACATTTCGAGAACCTCATCAAGTATTCACCGCTACACAATGTCCACACACCCAAGTCGCCGAGTGAGGAATATCCCTCAACTTTGGTGCTCACTGCCGATCATGATGATCGTGTTAGTCCATTGCATTCGTTGAAATTTATTGCCGCCCTACACGAGGCCGTACGCAATTCGGAATATCAAAAAAATCCCATTCTGTTGCGTGTCTATAGCAATGCAGGTCATGGTAGTGGTAAACCAACTTCGAAAATCATTGAGGAAAATGCCGATATATTCACCTTTATGTTACGCAGCCTCAACATTGATAAGGTACATTTGTGAGATGGTGATATTTTTGTGTGATACCCATGGTGCTCGGAAATGGATGAATGAAAAAAGCATTTATAAAAATTTATATCTTAAAATTGCATATTTTCCTCTTTTTGCCTTTGTATTTTTTTGATCCAATATTTATAAATGAATGCATTTATATAATCGAATTTTAATAAAATTATATATTTTAAAATTAATTGCTTCTGAATTATAGGACAAGATAATACAGGATTATATATTTTAGAAAGTATTGTTATCGGTAAATCTTAAAGAAGCCGTTTTCCATTGGAAAGGTTGCTATCGATAAAAGTTTTCTATAAAAATAGTTGTTATCGAACAACTTTTCTATAGAAAAAATTGTTTCTATAGAAATAGTTGTTTCTATAGAAATAGTTGTTATCGAAGAACTTTTCTATATAAATAGTTGTTATCGAACAACTTTTCTATGGAAATAGTTGTTATCGAACAACTTTTCTATGGAAATAGTTGTTATCGAACAACTTTTCTATGGAAATAGTTGCTATCGAACAACTTTTCTATAGAAATAGTTGTTATCGAACAACTTTTCTCTAGAAATAGTTGTTATCGAACAACTTTTCTCTAGAAATAGTTGTTATCGAACAACTTTTCTATAGAAATAGTTGTTATCGAACAACTTTTCTATAGAAATAGTTGTTATCGAACAACTTTTCCATATAAATAGTTGTTATCGAACAACTTTTCTATGGAAATAGTTGTTATCGAACAACTTTTCTACAGAAATAGTTGTTATCGAACAACTTTTCTACAGAAATAGTTGTTATGGAACAACTTTTCTATGGAAATAGTTGTTATCGAACAACTTTTCTATGGAAATAGTTGTTATCGAACAACTTTTCTATGGAAATAGTTGTTATCGAACAACTTTTCTATGGAAATAGTTGTTATCGAACAACTTTTCTATGGAAATAGTTGTTATCGAACAACTTTTCTATGGAAATAGTTGTTATCGAACAATTTTTCTATGGAAATAGTTGTTATCGAACAACTTTTCTATAGAAATAGTTGTTATCGAACAACTTTTCTATAGAAATAGCTGTTATCGAACAACTTTTCTATAGAAATAGTTGTTATCGAACAACTTTTCTATAGAAATAGTTGTTATCGAACAACTTTTCTATAGAAATAGTTGTTATCGAACAACTTTTCTATAGAAATAGTTGTTATCGAACAACTTTTCTATAGAAATAGTTGTTATCGAACAACTTTTCTATAGAAATAGTTGTTATCGAACAACTTTTCTATAGAAATAGTTGTTATCGAACAACTTTTCTATAGAAATAGTTGTTATCGATCAACTTTTCTATAGAAATAGTTGTTATCGAACAACTTTTCTATAGAAATAGTTGTTATCGAACAACTTTTCTATAGAAATAGTTGTTATCGAACAACTTTTCTATAGAAATAGTTGTTATCGAACAACTTTTCTATAGAAATAGTTGTTATCGAACAACTTTTCTATAGAAATAGTTGTTATCGAACAACTTTTCTATAGAAATACTTGTTATCGAAAAACTTTTCTCTAGAAATGCTTGTTATCGAACAACTTTTCTATAGAAATACTTGTTATCGAACAACTTTTCTATAGAAATACTTGTTATCGAACAACTTTTCTATAGAAATACTTGTTATTGAACAACTTTTCTATAGAACTACTTGTTATCGAACAACTTTTCTATAGAAATACTTGTTATCGAACAACTTTTCTATAGAAATACTTGTTATCGAACAACTTTTCTATAGAAATACTTGTTATCGAACAACTTTTCTATAGAAATTCTTGTTATCGAACAACTTTTCTATTGATATAATTGTTATCGAACAACTTTTCTATAGAAATAGTTTTTATCAATCAACTTTTCTATGGAAATAATTGTTATCAAACAACTTTTCTATGGAAATAGTTGTTATCGAACAACTTTTCTATAGAAATTGTGGCATCGAACAACTTTTCTATAGAAATTGTTGTTATCGAATAACTTTTCTATAGAAATAGTGGTTATCGAACAACTTTTCTATGGAAATAGTTGTTATCGAACAACTTTTCTATGGAAATAGTTGTTATCGAACAACTTTTCTATGGAAATAGTTGTTATCGAACAACTTTTCTATGGAAATAGTTGTTATCTAGCAAGTTTTCCATAGAAAATGCTGTTATCGAGCAACTTTTCTAAAGAAAACCTTGTCAATAGAGAATATTGTTATCGGACAACAGAACATGTTGTTATCATACAAAATTCCATTTAGCATGTATGTTATCCAATAACTTCTTCCTTTTTCCATTGTATCTTATATGCACTTTACAACGACATTTGTAATCGTGAATGCAACCGCATATCACACCCTGCAATCAACTTTGTTTACTGACCACCGCAAATTCTCATTCCCATAGTCCAGATAAAAAATAAAATTATATGCAAATAATAAAACAGACTTCAGTTTAAACTTGAAGTCATTGGAGAAAGGCGCAAAAATAGAAGCGAAGAATAAAAGAAAAAAAAAACTAGAACAATCAGAAATTTAACTATGTCCTCGGAAAGCAGCAACAATTTGGAAGGCTGTGACGTTAAGGTCTCTAACCTGAAATATCCGGTGGCCCGGAAAGATGAAAGTGTTGTTGAAACACATCATGGTGTTGAAATAAAAGATGTCTATCGTTGGTTAGAGGATCCTGATTCGGAGGAAACAAAGAAGTTTATTGAGGAGCAGAATAAAATCAGTCAGCCCTTCTTGGAAAGCTGTGATGCTCGCCCGAAAATATCGGAAAAGTTAACTAAGCTGTGGAACTTTGAAAAATATGGTTGCCCCATGAAATATGGAAAATACTATTATTTCCATAAGAATACGGGACTACAGAATCAAAGTGCTATATACCAGCAGGATTCGTTGGATGGGGAGCCACGTTTGTTCTTCGATCCCAATGCCCTGTCTAGCGATGGAACCATTGCTTTGGTGAAAAAATCATTTTCTCACGATGGCAAATACATGGCCTATGGTTTGAGTGAAAATGGTTCGGATTGGTTTAAAATTCATATACGTGATGTGGAGACGGGTCGAGATTTTGAAGAGATCCTGGAAAAACTGAAATTTTCGGAAATAACTTGGACGAAGGATAATAAGGGATTCTTCTACAGCTGCTATCCCAATCAAGAGGGCGCCGCTGATGGTTCGGAAACCAATGCAACCGAAAATGAAAAGTTGTACTATCACTATTTGGGACGGGCGCAGGAAGCGGATATTCTTGTTGCTGAATATCCCGAAGAGCCCAACTGGCAAGTTGTGTCTGAAATCTCCGATTGTGGCAAGTATTTATTGATATTTATCGATAAAGATTTTCAAGGGGTTTTGGTGCACTATGCCGATTTGGAAGGCCAGACGGAGATATCCTCCAAATTAGAAGTGAAGAAAATTATTGACAAATTCGAATTTGAATATAGCTACATTACCAATACTGGTTCCAAAATGTATTTCCGCACAAATAATGGGGCTGCGAATTATCGTATTGTCGTGATTGATTTGGAAAATCCAACCGAGGATAATTGGCAGACCCTTGTACCAGAACATGCCAGCGATGTTTTGCACTGGGCACAGTGTGTGGATGGCAATAAATTGGTCCTGCACTATGTACATGATGTAAAGAGTCTATTGCAGGTAAACTCCTTGGAAACCGGAGAATTACTTGGAGTATTCGACTTGGATATTGGCAATATTGATGCTTTCTGGGGTGACAAGTCCGAGTCGGAGTTGTTTTATAAGTTTTCCTCATATCTTACACCGGGCATCATCTATCACTTCGACTTCAAATGGAAGAATTTTAGCCCCAAAGTTTTGCGGAGCACCAAACTAAACTTGGAAGGATTTTCTCCGTCGGATTATAGAGTGGAACAGGTATTCTATGAAAGCAAGGACTCCACCAAGATTCCCATGTTTGTGGTCTACAAAAACTCAAACACAGAACAGAGAACACCTCGTCCATGTTTTCTGTATGGTTATGGAGGATTTAATTCCATCATGAATCCCTCCTTCAGCATTAAGAATCTAATGTTTATTGAGACCTTTGATGGTGTTGTTGCTCATCCAAATTTGCGTGGCGGTGGGGAGTATGGTGAAAAATGGCACAGGGCTGGTCGTTTGTTGAACAAACAAAATGTATTCGATGACTTCCAAGCAGCTGCTGAATTCCTGATAGCCAAAAACTACACAACCAAGGATCGTTTGGTCATTAAAGGTATTTCCAATGGTGGCCTCTTGGTTGGTGCCTGTATCAATCAACGTCCTGATCTCTTTGGAGCTGCCGTGGCCCAGGTAGGGGTCATGGATATGTTGCGTTACCATAAATTCACCATTGGTTATATTTGGTGTTCTGAATATGGTGATCCAGATGAAAAGGAACATTTCGAGAACCTACTCAAATATTCACCGCTGCACAATGTCCGTACACCAAAGTCGGCCGAAGAAGAATATCCCTCAACGTTGGTCATAACTGCCGATCATGATGATCGTGTAAGTCCATTACATTCGTTGAAATTTGTAGCCGCTCTCCAAGAGGCCGTACGCAATTCGGAATATCAGAAGAATCCAATACTTTTGCGCGTTTACAGCAAGGCTGGTCACGGTGAAGGTAAGCCAACATCGAAAATTATTGAAGAGGCAACCGATGTATTGACTTTTATTCTACGAAGTCTTAATATTGATAAGGTAAATTTGTAAATCTTCGAATATTGAATAAAATTTTAAATTACAATTTTTTCAGAACGAATTTTAATTTTTATCATAGCTTTTGGTTTCTACGTCGTTGCATCAAACGATTTTTGATATAAAATATTGTTAACCGTCAACATCGACAATTTTTTTTGGAAATTCATTTAATTCCATAATTTTTCTGTTGTAAATCCTGCCATCGAACAACTTTTCTATGTTGTTATCGAACAACATTTCTATAGAAAATGTTGTTATCGAAAAACATTTCTATAGAAAATGTTGTTATCGTACAACATTTCTATAGAAAATGTTGTCATCGAACAACTTTTCTATAGAAATAGTTGTTATCGAACAACTTTTCTATAGAAATAGTTGTTATCGAACAACTTTTCTACAGAAATAGTTGTTATCGAACAACTTTTCTATAGAAATAGTTGTTATCGAACAACTTTTCTATAGAAATAGTTGTTATCGAACAACTTTTCTATAGAAATAGTTGTTATCGAACAACTTTTCTATAGAAATAGTTGTGATCGAACAACTTTTCTATAGAAATAGTTGTGATCGAACAACTTTTCTATAGAAATAGTTGTTATCGAACAACTTTTCTATAGAAATAGTTGTTATCGAACAACTTTTCTATAGAAATAGTCTTAATATTGATAAGGTAAATTTGTAAATCTTCGAATATTGAATAAAATTTTAAATTACAATTTTTTCAGAACGAATTTTAATTTTTATCATAGCTTTTGGTTTCTACGTCGTTGCATCAAACGATTTTTGATATAAAATATTGTTAACCGTCAACATCGACAAATTTTTTTGGAAATTCATTTAATTCCATAATTTTTCTGTTGTAAATCCTGCCATCGAAAAACTTTTCTATAGAAAATCTTGTTATCTGACAACTTTTCTATAGAAAATGTTGTTACCGAACAACTTTTCTATGTTGTTATCGAACAACATTTCTATAGAAAATGTTGTTATCGAACAACATTTCTATAGAAAATGTTGTTATCGAACAACATTTCTATAGAAAATGTTGTTATCGTACAACATTTCTATAGAAAAAGTTGTCATCGAACAACTTTTCTATAGAAATAGTTGTTATCGAACAACTTTTCTATAGAAATAGTTGTTATCGAACAACTTTTCTATAGAAATAGTTGTTATCGAACAACTTTTCTATAGAAATAGTTGTTATCGAAAAACTTTTCTATAGAAATAGTTGTTATCGAACAACTTTTCTATAGAAATAGTTGTGATCGAACAACTTTTCTATAGAAATAGTTGTGATCGAACAACTTTTCTATAGAAATAGTTGTGATCGAACAACTTTTCTATAGAAATAGTTGTTATCGAACAACTTTTCTATAGAAATAGTTGTTATCGAACAACTTTTCTATAGAAATAGTTGTTATCGAACAACTTTTCTATAGAAATAGTTGTTATCGACCAACTTTTCTATAGGAAAAAAATGTTATAGAACAACTTTTCTGCACAAAAAAATGTTGTTATCGAACTACTTTCCTGTAGAAAATATTGTTATCGAACATCTTTTCTATAGAAAATATTTTTATGGAAAATACCATTGTATAAAAATTTTTGTCAACGAACAACTTTTCTATAGACGATGCTATAGAAAATAATTTACTATAGAAATTATTGCTGGCGAACAAATTTTTAATAGCAAACATGGCTATTGAAAATTTTTTAATAGAAAAGCATATTATCAAACATTTTTCCCATTGAAAATTTGATTTTTTTATTGCAAATAAAACAAGAAAAACAATAAACATTTTTTTCATATTCGTAAAAATCATAACCTTTTCAAAATTTGCCATAATTTTAATTTATTAATAATACTTAAATAAATAAATAAATTATAAAAGATTTTTGCACTCATGTTCCGAATATAAATGTCAATTAGAGAGATTTAGAAATGCAAATATAAGCTGGTGAATTTATTTAATCGAAAAAAATAAACAAATTCAAATTCAAGGTTAAGGGGAAAATTAACAAAAAAAGATGTGTATGGTAGGTGGGTGGTTAGGCATGCATGGACGTATGCTCATGGAAATGTTTATATTTGTTTTTATTATAAACATAAAATTAGATTGTGCAACAGTTTTTTTATGTTAGGGCTTTTTCACCTTTCATTCTTGTCGAGAGTGTTTAGTTCTTAACTCGCTGTGAGAGAAGAAATATTTGAAATTTTAAAATGAAATAATAATTCGGAGGAGATCTTTTTTTAGATGGTTATTTAAAATAGTCTAATGTGAAATTTTTGAAACATGATTGAAAATGTAATACAATTCAAAAAAAAAGTGTTTTTCGTGAATGATTTCAAGCTTGATCCACTGTCTGTAATTATTTATCAGTCTGCAAATAGTATATTTTGGTCGAGCAATTGGTATACGATTAAAATTTCAAAATTGTATACAAATTAGTAAAAATTGGAAAGTAATGTTATATTGAAGCACGGTTTTAAGCGTGTACTCTGTTTTAATTTTTAAATTCTTTTTCAATTTATACAGGGTGAGATAAAAAACTGCAACAATGTCAAATGCCATAATTTTTGCATTTTTTTATTCAATAAAAAAAATGTTGGAAATAGCATCAAATTTTAAAATAAGTTTAAATTTTTTTCGAATTGGTCAACTTTGGTACGAATTATGGCCTTTAAACGGTCAATGAAACCGTCACAAGCTGCCCGAATGTTGCTCTGCGGTATTTTGGTCCATTCCCGGCGAAGCGCTTGCTTGAGGTCATCGACACTTTGGCATTTTTTAGTGCCAACCTTACTTTCCAAAATACTCCAGGCACAATGGTCCATCGTATCGGTATCGCGAGATTTTGGTAGCCATTGTGCGCTGGAAATGAAGCGAGGAACCTTCTTTTTGTAACCATTCTTGGGTGGCGCGTGCTGAGTCCTGTTGGAATGTCCAAGGTCTGCGGCCAAAATGTTTGCGTGCCCAAGGCTTTAGTACACCCTCCAGAATATTTTCGCGATAATATTCGGCATTTATTCTGATACCACCCACGGTCGATTAATACGAGCGGAGAGCGACCATCGGTTGTAATGGCGGCTCACACCATCTCCATGGCCGGCGCACATTTTCAGCTGACCTCTTTGGCAAGTAAACACGATCAAATTCGGCAGTTCATCACTTTCGGCCAAGCGAAGCAACTCTTTAGCTCTTTTGAGTCTATTTTCTTTCTGCCACGGTGTATGTTCTTGCACTTTTCGGAATTTCAATGGCTTTACCCCGAGCTCGTTTTTCATTATTTGCCGAATGGAATATTGCCATATGTTCAGCTCACGAGCCATTTTTCGGCCACTGCGACGCGGGTTTCGATCAAGTCGCTTCTTTACTTTTCGAACCATTTCTGCTGATGTTGCTTCCGTCCACTTCCTTGACGTCGGGCTACGCTACCAGTATCACGGTAACGAGTGATGGTACGATACACAAAAGATTTATTCGCTTTTAAATGCTGGAGTGTTCTAACGATAGCCACTTGTGGTTTTCCAGCCCAATTTTAAAGAAATCACACTATCACGCTTGAATTCCATCACGTATAACTTTTTTCTGGAAAATTGTCCCCAAAATGCTTTTGTACGCTTGTAAACAATGTAATGAGCTGTCACTGGAATAATTTTAACAGCTGTTGGATGAGTGGCTTAGAAATGACAGCAGTCTGAAATTGGTTGCAGATTTTTCATCTCATCCTGTATTCTACTTTTTAAACATTTCTGTTACTCAAATTTGGTTTGAATACGAAAAAAATCCTGAAAAAACCCAATTTCAATTTTGGTTTTCTTATCTCATCATTCCTGGAAAAAATTTCCACATTTCCGGTTTGTTTATTGACAAAGCAGCAGCAACAACAACAAACAAAATCCTAAACAAACAACAACGATACATCTCGTTATCGCCAGCAAGGACATTGAAAAATTCCTGCCATTGACAAATGTTTAAATTTCCTTTCGTGTGAAAAGAAAAAAATATTATCAATTTCCTTGGCACTTTCATTTCAAAATAAAAATGTATTGAAATTCTGTTTCCAAATATGACAAGACAAATGTTTAACCTCCTTCTGTGGATTCAGAAAAATACACAACTGTCGATTACGTGTTCAAATTGTATAAATTTTCAAATAAATGTAATTCCTTACTTCATCGCTTTCCACTCAGACCGGGTGGGGAGAAGAAGATGCCAGGAGATGTCATTTTGTATTTTTTTGGGAATTCTGGAATGTTATTTTGAACTATTGACGCTGCTGGTGCTGCTTTTGTTTTCACTTTAATACAAAAATAAATTTGGAAAGAAAAATACACTCACTCACAGCCGGCTGACATCAAGCGTAGCGAAACAAAACTATGACGAAGCATTGCTATTTTTAAAATAAGAAAAAATATTTTTCATTTTTTTTTTTGCTTTTCGTCGAATTGTTTCCACCTGTTTCAGATAGAAATGAACAATGCCAAGAGTATGTTTTGCGGGTGGAGACTTTAGTTGGATGGTTGTCAGTCGCATTATTTTCTGAGTTTTGTGATGAAGGTTCTGACTAGTCATTGGAAAACTATTGTATTTGAAAATGGAAATATGGAAAGGAATGGTGAACAATAACTCAGACTTGTTTTCGGTAGTATCTGGAAAATTGTTGAAAATTTTATTTTGTAAACAAAACGGATTTAACTTGGCTCTAAATTCAGGTAAATATTAGAAACTATGTAGTTGGTCCGCAAAAATTTTCTTCGAAACAGTTTCTATGACATATTGCAGGTTTTCGAAGACTACAAACACACTTTATTAAAATGTTTAGGCCATTGCAGTGAAATAAAATTTTTCTGCATTTTTTGAGAATGTAATATTTTCAAGAAAATATAGAAAAATTATTTTTTCAACATTTTGAGACTTAGAATTCTTTTTGAATTTGTTTAAGCTTTACAAAAAAATTTTGTGGAACTCATAGGCATAAGAATATTTTCCAATAAAATTTGTTTCAAAAAAATATTTTATAGAATTTTGTAAGCTAAGA